AAAGGATTATGTCCATTATCCACTTTGAAAAGATGTCAGACTTCGCAATTGCTATCTCTAACTTTGAACAACATGGCCTTGCGTCAAATTGTTCATTTCAGTTTGCTCACACCGATCAGAATTATGTCTTGACAGACGTTATTTCGAATATTATGCTAAAGAATAACGCAGGAATGTACGGCTTTAATTCTTTTCCAGTGGACAAACGATCAGTTAAACGCGCTTAACTTCAGCGCATCTTGGAAGGTAGCGCTGAGAAATTGCTAGAATTCCGGAGGCCAAAAAATGAAATAGAAAATCGAGAATATTCCGGTTATTTGACTTAACCAATAGCATGGCATCCAAAGCTGGTAGCACATTCACAACACACACCAGCGATTTTGAAAGAGCTCTCCATTTATAGTTTTTTCAGCGTACTGACTCTAAGGATTTGATCATTCTGATTTGATCATTTTCTCATTCAAACTTCGTTATGAATCCTCTTTTTAGGAGTGGTTTATGAACAATTATCCATCAATATCAGCATGAGCATTTAAGCATGCAGTAGTCCTAAAGCACCTTGCAAGATCTTGTGCGGCCTCCATGAAAGGTCAAGAGGAATGAGGCTGCTACTGAATGATTGACTGTATAAAGATTACATCAATTCTGGAAACTGCAACGTTAAGTTGTGATCACAACTTTAGAAAGCACACACAGTCTACAAAGGCTCCAATCTTAAAATGCTTTTTGAATACTTTTACAGGATCCAGAAAACCTTGTTCTTATTTAATTTGTACGTGCTATTCCACACTGATAGCTTTTCTCGAGTGCATTTGTTGCAGTAGTAAACCCTCAGATGGCTACAGAATTTCGCCGATAGAGTGAAGTAAACGATAGAGTGAAGGCAAAAAAGCCGAGAAATACTTTGAAAGTTTTCCTTTTTGTGCATTCATTGACGAGAAATTTACTAACAATTCACATTCCTAGCGACAGAAAGTAAAAAAAAGTCTCAAACGACAAGACCAATTGTCCTGTGATTAGTAACGAGCGCCGGTTGCGTAGTTAAGGAACACATCAGCGCTGATCAGGCGATGCAATTCACCCCAATTCCTGGTACTTTGCTAAAGCCAGCAGAACACCTGAGGAAGGGCGTTTAATTATTTCATAAAGTTCGGCGACTGCGTTACATAATTATAATTCCGCCGCAATTTTTATGGAAACTCGCATAGAAAGGTGTTCTCTACAAACTCTCTACAGAAAAAATGTGGTAAATATAAAAGGATTCGTGTGTCAACACCTACTTCCAGTTTGAAAATACGGTAAGTTTTGATCTTCATTTTTGTCAAAAATGCGACTTGGCCAACGTCTCAAAATTATAATTCCACTGCATGTTTTGTTGTTGCATGTCGTTTCATTTCCACAGATTTATATCAGTTCTATGATATCAATTCTTTTTTAAGGTGATGCCAAGAGGGCAACCTCTGCCTGACTTCGAGAAAGGGCAAATCGTCTCAAAAATTAGTCAAAGATTGTCGAATCGACGAATCACGCGAGATTTGGGCAGAAGTCATCTTGTCATCAACTTTGTCAAGAACCCATCAGGGTATGGGAGCAAAAAACGTCGTGAACGCCCCTC